TCTTTCTCAGCCATCACAGTTTGCCCTCCTTCTGGTAGTTTTTCATGTTGTACAGCCCTGCATTTTTCTAAAGAGTGACCTTGAACTTTGCATTGTGAGCAATAGGTAGGCATAGTTTCATACTCGATTTTTTGGTCAAATGTTTCTATTTTTCCAAATTGATTCCTTACCATATGAAGTAAAGGTTTTGTTAGATCAATTTGAACTCTTATCTTGGCAGTTGTAGGCCTTGATTTCGTGGTTGTGGCCTTGTCCATCACCAAACGTATACCTATTGGGCTAACAATCCGACAAGAGCATCTCATTCATAATAGTGCCATGGTAAATCTGGAAGGTTGATCCAAATTGTAGCTAGGGACGATTCAGGGCCAGGCTTAAAATTTATGGTCCATTTGATAATTTTCATTTTGATCCCTCCAGCTAGGGGAATGAATTCTCTAGAGTATATATTGTTAAAATCGTCTTCATTTTCAACATCGATGAAAACATAGTATCTTTCCTTAGCTCCAATTTTTACCTCTCCTTTTCTATTAGTTGTTCTAGCAAATTCAGCTCGAATTTTGTCGATTGAAGGTCTGCTATTTAGGAACTTACCTACAATGGTCCATCGGCATGTCTCTGCTAATAGATCGTGCTCTTCGTTGGTGAAAACTACCAAAGCTTTTCCATCTATCAGTTTATGCTTTCTGGGGGTAGTCTCACTTCCAATTTTGCTTTATTCCCAACCTTGAACCCTAGCGCATCGGCATAAGAGTCCGTTTGGTTTTGATTTGAGTTATCATCGATCTACTGCGATGGCTTTTCTTTGAAGCGGTGAAAAATTTTGGATGTTTGGGATTTGGTTGTTAGGTATTAGATCTGGTGGTTCAGGGGATTTCGGATCTGGGAGCAGCTTGAGGGGCCTCTGGTGTTGTCCATGGTGGTCACCAGAGCTTGTTAGAACTAGCCGTTACTGGCTCCAGGTGACCGTTTGTGGCGAAGAGTTCGAGTTTTGCTTTTTTGTACGGAGAGAGAAGAGCTTTATCTTGGACTATTATGTTACTAAGAAATGTTAGCTTAATTAGTGCCAAGAGAAGAAGATTCTGAATTAAAGGCGAGGACACGTGTTGGAATGGTTCAGGGAAAATTTAGGGTGTTTGGCAGCACGGCTTTTGTTACTGATGGAGTACTTGTTTTCAATATATGAATATAAATGATTTTTTACAACAAACTATTAGCATCGATCTTTTCCAATTATAAAAACCACCAAGTTTTACGTTGGTGGAGGGTTTATGGCCCTACCCTATCCGTCTATTTCATCTCGTACAATGAAATGGATATGTTCAGTTCTCATTTGAGATACATGAAGGGTGAATAATTCATCCTTATACTTACTAGTAACAAGTTAGCTAAAAAAAATCAGATGAGCTATGAATTTGGGAGGACTACTCCTTTCATATATACCTGCATTCGCTGTACCTTGACTCAAGGGCGGATCAAGTATATGCGAGGCCTAAAGCCAAAATTTTTATGCGGCCTAAAGTTTTAAAAGAAAGTTATACGATATGTTTTTATCTAAAGTCTATTTTCTAGTTTTGAGATATAAAGTATTAATAATCCTTTTTATAGTCGATTTTTCCTAATAATTCATTTTCAATTGATAATAGCCAACACATTTAACCTTTCTTGAGATATTGTTAATTTTAGATAAGATTTTATAGAGCAATAGTATAGAACTATTAGAAGCTTAAATTTATTGGAGAAAGAAGGTTAGTAAGAATATTAAAGTGAAAGACAGAGAATATGTAAGGATTATGAAATATGAAGAAAACGGGAAAAGAAATATTGACTCGGACAAATTAATAAAAGGAGAGTAAATGTTTACACGTTATCTAATGAAGGAGTAAGAAGTGAAGAATTAAAACGTTGGAAAACTATTTGTATGCCCATGTTTAAGTAAGTCAAATTATTACTTTATTTATGTATGTAAAGGGCTTTCTTTCCTTTTATATTAAAAACCCTACTTTTATATTAAAAGTACTAAATATTATTTTTTAAAGGAATTTATACATTCCTATGCCATATAGGAAACTATATTACCCTCAATGCTTAAGGTTTGATATAATTACATTTACTATACCTAATTACCAATTATATACCATTAGTGGTTTTTAAGGGTATTAATTACACTCCTAATTTAATGGTACCGTATATTCCTTCTAATACCACTCCCCCCACCTTTATCTCTCCAATTACCACACCTTCACCCATGATTTCTGTCTCCAATTCCCTTCCACACCCACGATTTCTGTATCAAAATTCCATTATTTCTTCCATAGCCAAGGCTTTGAATTCGAATTTGGGTTTTCAAAAGACATTGTTTGTTTGGATTGGATGTTGTTGCAAAGAATTGAGAATTCTCTCTACATCTCTCTCTATCTCGCAATCCCAAATTTCAGTAATATAAGAAGAAAGGAAAAGAGAGCAGCAATTCCACCATTGACAGCCATTAAAAAGCTTTGAAACTTTGAATTCTAATTTGGGTTTTCAAAGATCATTAATTGTTTGGATTGGGTGTTGTTGTAAATAATTGGGAATATGATTTGGAGTTTATATCTCAATTTTGAGGGGTTTTGGTGAAGATTAGACTTGGTTTTGGCTGAATTTCAGATTAAAACTCGAAGAAGAAGAAGAAGAAGAAGAAGAAGAAGAAGAAGACATGACATACATTATATTGCAGAAATTGTAGATAAACTGTAGAGCAATTGTAGAAAAATTGTAGACTGTTGTTTATTTATTTTTGAGCTTTTTGTTTTTGTGTTAAAAGTTTTGATGGGAGCTTGTTATTCCACTTCGTTTGTTTTGGAGCTAACTTGTGCAGAGGAAAAGATGTTTTTAAGTTATATATATTGTTATACCTTTAAATTCAAGAAAGTATGGTTGTATTATATTTAAAGAGGCGTGATTTTGTAGAATAGGTTGAATGTGAGGAATGAGTCAAAGAAGACTCACAATGGCCTGTTTTCTACATTTAATCTACAACAAAACTACATATCATTTGACAAATTAATATGAAAATACAGAATTTCAATGTTTCTACAAATTATCTGCAAAATTTCTTAGGAAGATCTATCCCTTCATCATGTTTTTTTGGATTCCATATTTAGCATAGCAGTTTCGTAAGGAGTAACAAGAGCATATTGGAGAATCACAGAATTGTAGCATAATCGGGATTTTCGACATAATAGCATTTTTTGCAGAACTTTTGTAGAAGTTTTAGTTTTTTTTTTTGATTCGTGAAAACAGAAAACAAAGCATCTACAATTAGAATACAAATAATTTACAATTTATCGACAAAATATCTACAAACTGGGTACATTGAATTTTAGTATCCCAATTCCCATTCAATTGTAGCATAATTGGGATTTTCGACATAATTGCGTTTTTTGCAGAAGATTTGTAGAAGTTTTAGTCATTTTTGATTTGTGAAAACAGAAAACAAAGCATCTACAATCAGAGTACAAATAATCTACAATTTATCTACAAACTGGGGACATATTGACATGCTTCCCCTGAAATATATGTTTCACATTTTTGATACATATTTTTGTCCAAAACAGTACTAAATCATCCACTTAAATACAATTTTTATACAATGTTGTTCAACTTTCATACAATAGGTAAATGAATAAAAGAAAAATAAATAAACAACAGTCTACAATTTTTCTACAATTTTTCTACAATTTCTGTAATATAATGTATGTCATGTCGTCTTCTTCTTCTTCTTCTTCTTCTTCTTCTTCTTCTTCTTCTTCTTCGAGTTTCAATCCGAAATTCAGCCAAAATCAAGTCTAATCTTCACCAAAACCCCTCAACATTGAGATATAAACTCGAAACCATATTCCCAATTATTTGCAACAACACCCAATCCAAACAAATAATGATTTTTGAAAACCCAAATTTCAATTCAAAGCTTCAAAGCTTTTTAATGGCTGTCAATGGTGGAATTGCTACTCTCTTTTCCTTTGCTTTGTATTACTGAAATTTGGACATAATTGCATTTGATGTAGAAGAATTGTAGAAGATTTAGTCGTTTTTGATTTGTGAAATCAGAAAAAAGGTTTGAAACACATTGTATCGAAAAGCAGAGACGCTAAATTTGAAACGAAATTGACGAAGAAGATTAATGTGCGTGATTTGCGTTGTGGAAGATCTGGAAGAATATTTAATTTCCCTTTTTTACCGCGCCTAAATAAGGAATCATAAAGCTACAATGATTCCTTATTTAATGCATTGTATATATTATGTAGAAATACTATTAGCATGAATGGTGATATGCAAACTATGAACATATTTGGTAATATAGTTTCATAGATGGTATATATACGAAAATTTCCCATTACATAATTTGGACATCAAATAATGAACTATCCTAAATATAATAGGACACGTATAATTTCAAGTATAGCGTAGGATTCTACTCTTTATACATTCAACATACCACTCTCCAAAAGAACGATTCAAAATATATAAATTACATGCGTTTAGGCATCACAATCTTATCTAATGTCACATCACTTCACTCTTATATAGATAAACTTTCAAGGCATATGCATTCGGTCTTACTTATATTTGTCCTAAGACTCTTATGCGGTAGAATACTGCTTCCAAAGAAATTATAAGAACATACAAAGAAATTCTTAAAATCTTGGATTACACTTTCTGTTATACACCATCTAAAATTTTATACATGTTAAATACTCAAAAAAAAATTATCACGTATTAAATTTTGCAATTTATTACAAAAATCCAGCTGTACTTACATACGATATCACTTGCCAAACAGTTAATGACTTGAGGAAACGGTTAGAAATTTAACATGATATATGCACTGTCGATTCGATATATGAATTGAAAGACACATACATGTAGTCATAGGATCCCACGTGTTGAGGTGCTTCCACGTGGTTTGCTTCAGCCCTAATTAGCCGACACATATTATATACTCCTTTTACTTCTTCTTCCTTCTTAATTTCCCTAAGTTTTACAGATCACAACAGAAAACCTAAAAGGAAACACAGAGAGAGAAAGACGAAAATGGGTTCTGAAACTTTTCTTGAAGTCATCCTTGCTATCATCCTTCCTCCTGTTGGTGTCTTCCTTCGTTATGGCTGTGGTGTATGTTCTTTTTCTACCCTTTTTTCCTTTTATATTTACATTTTTAGCATCACTCTTTACTCCCTTTAGAAAGAATAAAAAGATCTGTTGCCGAATGCTTCGTACTACTTTTCAAACTAGGTTTTTGGTCTATTCTAAAAGGACGGTTTTATTCCATCTGAGATTCTAAAAAGGAAATGCCTTTTTATATATATAAAAAATAATTTTATTTTAATTTTTTCATTGTACTCTTGTTGACATGATTTATTGCTACACAAAATTTGCTAGGAGTACATGTTTGGGACTAGAAATTTTATTACATGTTTAAGACTATTAAGTGTATAAATCTTCTTTTGTTTTTCTTGAACTCCTAACGTCTATAGGGTCTGGTTTGTTTAGATCGTAAAAATAGTGTCTGATAATCCCATTAAATTGTTAAAAGAGTAACTAAATTAAGGGGTCGTTTGGTAGGAGGTATTAGAAAAAATAATGCAAGCATTAGCTCTATGCATTACTAATACCTTGTTTGGTACCTTCTTTTCAACTTGTGTATAACTAATACTACATCATACTTGGCATTATCCTATGCATAAGTAATCCATAGAAAAGGCATTAGTAATACCAAGACTTTAATGCATGCATTAGCATGGTTAAAGACAAACTCTTAAAGCTAGAGAATATGGAGGGCATTTTTGTAAGCAACTATTTTTTTAAAAAATTATGCAATGCATTATAATTTTAATATATCACACCAAACGATAGATAAGAAAAAATATTTGCATAACTAACACATGCATTACTAATCCATGCATTACTAATACACCTTATTCCGCACTATTCTTATACACCCACATTATTGGAAGAGAAAGAAAAGGATATGAGATTGAATAGCTGTAGGCATGTTTTAAGGATTGCATGTTTGAAATTCTATCTCTCTCTTTAGAAGCTAATATATGTTTTAAGTAGTACTTACTGGCTCACAAAATGTACTTTTGTGAAACAATTAACGCTTATTGTGATTAAAAATTTGGTTGATTTAAGAATATAACGAATTATAAAGATGATTGCTTAAAGTATATAACGAAAAAGTATTTCAAACGGATAAAAAAAAAGGTTAAAATTTTCGGGAAAATCTAGTACTATTTGATGAGCGACGAAAGCAGCAGCAATTCTTGTCATTCATTTCATGCATTTGTGTAATACCTAATAAACATTTACACAGAGGTTTTAGATTGTGTTGATTTTGGTTGTAGTAATTAATTCTTTTTTTTCGTGAAAAATGCAGGTGGAGTTTTGGATATGTTTGTTGCTGACAATTCTGGGGTACATACCTGGCATTATTTACGCACTTTATGTGTTGGTTGGATAGTGCAACACTTGTACTGTAAATATTATGCCTCTTTATCTTTGTATCATTCTCCAATAAATACTTTCTTCTTTTTTTCTCTTATTCTATACCTTCTTTTTGTTTGTTCTTTTAATTTTCCGCCTGGTAGTCCTTTGGTCATGTATATGACTAAACTTCGTTTATCATTGTAAATTGGGCATACCTTGTTTGGAGTTAATTACAACTACTTTTTATCCTGAACAAAGGGATGACTACACGACATCGAAATTTTATGATATATACAGAGAAAGATGTACATTAATCTAACAATCTTGGAGTTCAAGTTTTGTACACTAATATAATAACTTTTGAGATAGCTGAATTTTATGTTGCATGCGACGACTGTTACATTATTACCATGATAACATGATTTGGCGATGACAGTTATATTATGCCGGTATACAATATATGTTCAATCTAACATGTTATATGTTATAACTTGTTAACTGATACTATACAATTTTATTTGCTTCCTGAACTCAACCCCCTGAATTATATTTAGGGAAAAGGTCCGGATTTGCCCTCCTACTATTGTGTATTATTTATATTTGTCCTCCGTTATACTTTTTGCCCTCCTGCTATTGTGTCTGCCCCCATCGTTAACAAACTCTTCAAATTTGTCCCTAATCCTAACAGCCCTACACTGTGGCACCTCCAATTTTTGTCCACTGCCAAGTCATATTACAAAAATAAAATAAAAAAACAAAAAGCTGCATAGTCAGATGGCTCGAGGGGAACTATTGATTTGTCTCAGTTAATTCCTTAACATTCACACTCAAAGAAACAAAAAAGCAAAAAGAATGAGAGAAAACTTTATAATTGGGGTTCAACGGGATCTCGTTAATCTGCCTTAGTGCCGCTCGTCGTCCTCATCACTACCAAGACCCTTCATTCTCCCTCAGAATCTTTCGTTTATTTTTTTAACCATTTTTTTATTGCTTTTTTAACTTTACTTTTTTTCCTTAATTCAAGAAATAATTTTTACATGATTGATACAAATAATTTTCAAACCTACAACCATTCAATATTAGAACAACTTCCAAAAGAAATTTTCAAATATGAACCTCTTAAAGTTCAACAATGGTGTAGCTGATGAACCACGTTTAAAGTTAATTTTCAACTGGGTTTTACATAATTTCAGTCCTATAACAATTATTAAATCAATCCTCAAAGTTTAATTTAACCTCATATGCATAAAATCCCAACCCAGGATGAGGCTTTAAATTTTCGATAATGAGCTTCCAAAACTCTTACTTGAATCTGACCTAGTAGTAATGAACACATGAATTTAATTCAAAATCTGAAAATTCAATTATTATCATGTTATTTCATTTTGGCTAGATTGTTTGTTTGATTTTTTGGTTTTGGTTGAAATTGGTCTGAAGGAGGTGACATGGTGATTTGATGAGGAAGAAAGAGATGTAAAGTAAAAGAGAAAGAAAGTGGAATAAAAATAGAAGTAAAAATAAAAAATAAATAGATTTGGAAGGGAAATGGGTCTGGTATGAATTAAAAAATGGTAGATTTTAAGTTGGAATCGGGTATTTAAATTAAGGGTGGTGAATGGCCCCATAAACTTGACCCATTCTATGGTGAATGAGATGGTGTCATCTGACTTGGCAGCTGACACAGATAGAAATTGGAGGGGTCAGCTGCCATAATATAGGGCCGTTAGGGTTAGGGGCAAATTTGAGGAGTTTGTTAACGGTAGGGGCGGGAATGGACAAAAAGTATAACGGGGAAAATATAAACAATATACAGTAGTAGAAGGACAAATCTGGACCTTTTCCCTTATATTTATTTTGCAGGATAAAATGACTTGAAAACATGTTGTATATAGTTTAACCCTAACGTAGGAAATCCAAGCAAGGGAGACGGGAATTGAAAGGTGTTTTGCCTCTCAATTGGAGAGAGTGCTCGGTTTTTTGGGATAAATACCAAAAGACAAGAGACGATGTCACGCTGCTACGTTTATTTAGCAAAATGTTGATCTCGCTCTTAATAATAGTTTATTTAATTTCCTTTAGCTTTGGTCTAGTATTGGTATGAACTGAAATCCTGACGTGTATCATAAAAATCGTATGAGAAGACGATAACTCATTTTGTTAATGTCGCCACTCTTTTTGGGCAATACTCTATTCTTTCCTTCTGTTAGTGCACGGAGAGAATGAATTTTATGGTCCATTGCAAGGTATGGGACTTACGTCAGTGTTGCAATTTACTAATGCGGGGTTTTGGTTATTCTATCACAATAGCTAACTTTTGGACTGTTATTCTACATAGATTATATTCGAAGGGTACGAAAACGCTTTAATTTAAGGACTTCTTACAAGAATTGATCCAACCATGAAACAGAAAAATAAATAATTATGCATGGGTGATCTACATGGAGCAAAAAAGAGGATCACACACTGTTTAATTTAAAAACTTTATACAATAACTAATCATATAACGAAATTAAGCAGTAAATCGATCCTACTAGCTAGGACTCTAGGTTATGACATACATAATTATTGGGTGAAAACTTCTCCTCTCAGGGTGGAAAAGGGTAATTTTAAATATTGACTTGTGTTTACCCTTAGAAATGGATAACAATTAAACTTTGTGTTCGCGGAAATACTGGGGTTTGAAGTACCACTACACCAGTGTGGAATTCGTTATATCCTGGGAGGAAATAATCCACAACCTTGGGTACTAGGAGGGGGTTAAATTCCATAAGGAAACACTGTGAATTCAGTGGGCTCAAATTAGCTTCTGTTTCATTTATATTTTTGTTTATATGTTATTTTATTTCCTCCAGAATTATTTTACAAATACAGTTTACAAACAAGCTTAAGGAATTTAAATTTTATTTTCTGTTGGTTTTTCTACTCCCGTTTTGGAGATTAAAGCCTTCGTGGCGATTTTTTTACTCCATTGGAGAATAAAATTTACGTGATTTTTTACTCCAGTTTTAAACGTTTATTAAACGTTTGTTTGTGTCATTCTTTTACAGAAAAATGACGAATAACAACGGAAACCAAACTGTTTCGAAGGTGACTGCCAATGCATCGACAAGCCGAACACCGGGTTGGCACCGGCAAAAAAACCCAGAAAATCTTCCGGGATTGATTTCAAGAGGTGGCAGCAGAAGATGTTCTTCGACTTGACTACTTTAAGTCTACAGAAGCTCATTAAGGAAGATGTTCATGTTCTGCCCGATGAAACTCCAGAGAATAAACACTTTCTCGTGATTGAGGCGTGGAAGCATTCTGATTTTCTGTGCAAGAATTACATTCTTAGCGGACTGGAGGACGATCTGTATAACGTCTATAGTAATGTGGAGACATCAAAAGAACTGTGGGTTGTGCTTGAAAGAAAATACAAAACTTAAGATGCCGGGTTGAAGAAATTCATTGCCGCTAAATTTTTGGACTACAAAATGGTGAATAGCAAGTCTGATATTACCCAAGTTCAGGAATTGCAAAGTGATTATTTACGATCTCCTTGCTAAAGGTATAAGTTCAATTAATACTGATGTTGAAAGTATTAATTTTATTTACTAATAGAATTTTCATTAAAGGTCTTGTCATCAATGAAGCATTCCAAGTTGCAGCGATGATTGAGAAGTTGTCTCCTTTGTGGAAGGACTTCAAAAACTACTTGAAACGCAAACGCAAGGAGATGTCCCTTGAAGATCTCATTGTTCGGTTGAGAATCGAAGAGGACAACAAAGCTGCTGAAAAGAGAGGCCGTGGAAACTCAACAATAATGGGAGCAAACATTGTTGAGGATACTTCTCAAAATAAGAGAAAGAGGAAGCAGGCTTCTGGACCGAAAAGTAACCCAAGCAAGAAGCGGTTCAACGGAAATTGCTACAACTGTGGGAAAGCTGGACACAAATCTACAGATTGTCGTGCTCTGAAGAAAGACAAGAAGAAGGGTCAAGCAAACATGGTTGAAAAGCACGAATATGTTGATGAATTGTGTGCTATGCTTTCGGAATGCAACCTGGTGGGAAATCCTAAGGAGTGGTGTCACGACCCAAATTCATTACAGGTCGTGATGGCGCCCAACCCCGTTATCAAGCAAGCCAACTCTACATATTAGTAAATTCTCATTTTACTTTACCAAACAATTCCGATAATTTGTTCATCAGAATAATAAATAAGCGATAATCAATAACGTACGATAATAATTATACAAACCAAAAGAATAGTCTACCAATGTGTGTGCCAAGACCTGGTGTCACAAGTATATGGGCATCTAGTAGAATACACAAAAGAATAAATCTATCCTACTATCTGAACTAGAATAGACAGCCAAAAGTACAGAGAGACTCCATCACGCTGCTGAACGGCATAGGAAGGGGGCAGCTCACCGTGGAATCTCGGGGCTCTATCAGGAATGCGCACTATACTGATAGCCATATGTACCGCCTTAGATCCTGTACAATTAAGTACAGAAGCGTAGTATGAGTACATAAAAAACATGTACCCAGTAAGTATCCAGTCTAACCTCGAAGAAGTAGTGACGAGGGGTCGACATGACACTTACTAAGGTCAATACCATTAATGATGTAAGGTTTCACTAAGCATGGATAACATAGGCATAATAACACGCTCAGAGTCTACAGAGATCAATATATATATCAAATCCATTCATGTCTTATGTAATTTCAATTCAAGGCATTTATCAGAGTAAGTCATGAATAAGATTTCACATAGATGTCATGTGCACATTATGCTGAGGTCGTACGGTCCGGTCCAACATAAAAGGAAATATGCACTGCCAGAGGGACGAATGGCGCGAACCATAGATGCATCTATTTCTACCGAGGCGATCGTCCCGGTCCACAAAAATCAATTATCATCAAGAAGGCACATAAGACGCAATCATAGTCAAATAAATTCATACAAGTTATTAAGTAAGTGCATGCGTTCTTATACATTTATTTACAACCCCTAACAAGTCCTAAGTAATCTCAATAACATAAAAGGATATAGACGTTTGCAAATGTAGCATGATACGGGTCCTAAACTACCCGGACAATTAACATAATAGTAGCTACACACGGACTCTCGT